ACCCACAACTCTAACTAAAATCTGAGTTGAAATGTTTTGCTCAAAATCAAGTAGGGTGCTAGAAATTTTGTTCCAAAATACTTAATGTCTTTGAGTTGAGTTCTTATAAACTTATCAAAGTTTCATCTCACCCAAAATATAGAACAAGTAACTCCAAGGGGTTAGTTCAAGTAATAACCGATCACTTGATAGATGACTTAAGTTGGCATTATTCAAATGTTCGATATTCCACAGGATAAAAATGTTCATTGGGGCCATCTCCCTTAGATTTTTCATCTGTGCGGGTAGATGAGTCTTTGCGCATGGGCCTAGGTTGACTACCCGGCCACCGGTCCAGATATGCTCGATTGGTGGGAGTTCTTGGGTTATCAAAAAAAAAAAAAGGTTCAGAACAAGTAATTTGACGAATGATTCAATTTTATCATTAAATTTTCAAATTCAAAATATTTTCTTGTGCTTAATTCCATACTCATTTTATTCTTTCCAAACAACAAGCAATGAGATTTTTGTAGTTTAGAAGGAGAGACATTACAAAAGCAGGTGTATGGTCCATCGATACAATGAAATAATCCACAACTTTGAATTCCTTGTAAACATGTATATGCCATTTGATTGCCAGTCTTCCTCAAATTGCTGATTAGACATTTATACTAAATTAACAAACGAATGTAGTCCAGACAAAATTTATTTCTTATGCTTCTTTCCATGTATTTTATTTCTATTTCTTTCTATCCAGTGGGGAGCTAAAGGGTTATTAATTTTGTTATATATTTGATCTATTCCAACTTAAAAGCTAAAGACCTATTCTAATCCTGTCGCACTTCTTTACTAATTGAAAACCGATCAAACCAATCAACCTTGGTCTCATTGGTTACTACGTGAATTCGGGATACATTCCATTAAATAATTTATGTGTATTGTGTTAACAATATTATTTTTTTAACCCTCAACCTTAAAATTTTAAGATAATAATTCATGAGGTCATTCTGTCCGACCTACCGGGTCAAACAAGCTACTGTATCATTAAGGGGCATGCCAAAAAATCAATGTTATAGGTTAAGCAATAGGATTGACTTTTTTAAAACCGACAAATTGCTGAATAAATTGTTCTCACTTGACATGGTTGAAATGAAAACTTTATCGAAGTGATTGAAAATACAAAACAAGGTGTAGAAAAGTCGCCACTAATAAATAGTCGCAAAGTAAGAAAACAAAGAGGAAAAGAAAAAGAAAAAAAGTGGCACATTCATCATATACTCTGCCCTTTACTTTTCTTTTTTTTCTTTCTCCTTAAATAGAATATTCCACCAATCCACCCCCATGCACTTGATGCATTAATGTAATCATGGTTTTATGTTGTTTCGTCTATCCCTTTTTCAAATGAGAAATAACTAATACTATTACAAGAAGGCGCACGGTGGCTATTAGACCAGTCATTGACTTCTTAAAAAACTCTAGACATGGTGAAAATTAAAAGTAGATAATAAAGGAAATAGTACTATCAATTCAGCCTCACCCACTTCGTTATGATCACTATTTGGAATGTTAAATCAGTTTTTTGCCAGTGATATTAATTTTCTTGAATTATATATATAGTAGCTCGATTATAAAAGTTTCAAACCACAGCCTTAGGTATGTACTTTTGATGACCATTACATCATAATTCAACATTCACAAATTAAAGATGCTAAATATTAAATATTAAAACTTACCAAATTTCATTTTGAATTAATAAGGAAATTGTAAGATTATATTAATCATTGTTTTTATCATATAAGGAAGTAAATTAGTCCTGTAATAAGATGAAATCTTTTACAAAGAATGAAAATAAAATATTCATTGGTCTGTCAAGATTTTCACGTTGACAAAGAAGAAAAACAAAATAAATAGTAGAGGAAGAAAAAGTTTATTTGATGGCAAATCAATCATATACTTCTGCGATCAACTTATATTATATTTTTCGTGATAGATTTTATGTGATCAAATCACCCTATTTTTCTGTGATCAACTTTGGTTTGGTGATTTGAGCACAATCACTTGAGTAGGAGTATTATGCCATTTGGTTTCCATGCTATATGATCAATTTGTGATACTTATCTTTCTTTTTTTTTTTTTTTTTTCTGGTCTCTTAAGAAACAAAGATTTCATGTTATTACAACAACAAAAAAAAGAACACCCGAAAACAGCCAAAAAAACAAGGACAAAACAATTATTCAACCAATACCGTCTCTTGCTTCCTTTTGTACGAGTCTCCTTAGTTGCTCCGAAGGATAAACCACCCAGTGAGGGGATAAGTTGTTCTTTCGAGCATGATTTGCAGCCTGATGAACTAACTGATTAGCTTGTCAGTTCACAAATTGAAACTTGATTGAAGGAATTTTACTGGAGTAAAACCAAATATCTTTTTGAATAGGCTCAACCTCTCTCAACAACGAAGTTGGCCCTCATTGGATAACTTCAATCAACACTTTAGAGTCAAATTCAACAATAACTTCTTGAAAATTCTCTGCAATGGCCATGGTGCATGCACATCGAATAGTCATGTTGTGATTATTGTCTCTTTAAAGAATCACAAAAATCTTTAATAATTTCATTATTATAAAAAGTTCTACTTTTTTACCTTTTTTCATTATTTCTTAGTTAAAAGCAATTTTTCTCTCTCTCTTTTTTTATTTTATTTTATGTTCTGCGTGTGATGTCATGAGTCGAAGAATCTGAGGTGAAACTTGGTGAAGAAATAATATTAGGTAAGGATAATTGCATTTCCTTTTCTTTGTTTTTGTTTTAATGGCATTAAGACCGTAATTAATATGGCATTATAGTTTCCTTTTTAGTTCAAAACATAATTTGGTAAGTTTTGACATCTAATTTTTATTATCTTTAATTAGTGAATGTTGGATCATGATCTAATGGTCCACATCAAAAACACTTACCTAAGGCTATGGTGTGAAACTTGTATGATCGTGTTATTCGTTATATATATACCGAGCAAGAAAAATAGTTTTGCAGTGGACACTTCAACAAAGTTTAGTTTTTTTTTTTTCTTGTGCCAAGTAGAATGATACGTTTATATTTATTAAAAAAATGGACACAATAAAATCACTCAACATGAGAGGGGCAAAAATTAGTACATATGGAGCATACAAACAAACAAAAAAAAATGAAAAAGATTAATTTTCACATTTTATAAAAAAAAATGAAGTTAGTTATAGTCATTTTCAATTGACTCCAATAAGTTTTTATTATTTGAAATATTGCATAATAATTTCTTTATAAATACTATCAAGAATATCTTTCGGTATATATAATATCACATTATCAGGCATCCTCTTATTACCAATTTGATTATATAATTGAGTTTTTATAATCTTTACTATTAAAAATACTTTTTTAATAATGAAAATTACAATCCATAAAATCAATATCAAAGCCACTAGTATGTAGACTAATAGATATACCCTAAATTTTATTTTCAAAAAGAACACCAATTTAAATGTGTCTGAAACTTGTTATTTATGAGCCTATTCTAATAGACATCACAAGAAATTAATTGGGTGGTCCTCATTAAATTTGTATAGAAAGTATTTAAATCGTATTATTTTTAAACAATGTCAAGAAAATTTCTTGGAGGGTGGACATGTGCCCCCCCCCCCAACCACCTAAGCTAGTGGCGGCCATAACATTGAAAAAATTGGGTGGCAATTAATTCTAATCAGATCTCTTAATATTTCAGCATGACCCTTATTTAAAGTTTTACTTGATCATATGGCTGAGTATTTAATCGTTTTTTGCATATACATTGATAATTACTATTACGATTAACAATCAACTAATAATAATGCAAAGGATCGCAATTCAAAAGTATAGATCAACTAATAATTAGGTTAAGAAGTTAGTTCAAAAAAATATTATTGTTAATGGATGAACATAAAGCAGGCCAGAATTAGTTTGTCAAAGGAGCTGGAAACAGCCAAGGCCAAGTAAGAGGATAGAGAGTGAAAAAGTCGCAGCAGCCAATAAAGAAATGGACAATAGGGCACATTCATCATATACTCGCCAACTCTAGGCATTTACCCAAAACAGGCACGAGTTACAGAGAGAAAATCATATATACATATATATATATATATCCGTAAATATATTTAGAGAGAGAAAGTCAGAAGGTGATGATAGCAAAGGCCAACAGACCTTTTAGGCTTTTAGCATCTCTACGCTTTCCCCAGAGAGAGAAAATCATATATATATATATATATATTTAGAGAGAGAAAGTCAAAAGGTGATGGTAGCAAAGGCCAACAGACCTTTTACCATCTCTACGCTTTGCCCACACAGAGACACCCTATCTCATGACTCGGTGAAAGTTGTCATTCTTGAGCCTTTCCACACCATAAAAGTCGTATCACTTCTCCCTCTAAGCTGCTTTTTTCGGGGACTAATATTACCTTGATCAAATTTTAAGATTAAATTAAAAATTTAAATAACATGATAACATATTATTTAAAATTTTTATTAAAACCTAAATAACATAACACAAAATAAATAAGTTTAAATCAATTAATATGTCATTTAAGTTCTGAATTTGATGCCAAAATTTGATCCACGTAATATTACTGTTTTCCGTGTTTTGACTTCCGCATTAACGTTGAATCTCTCTCTCCTTCGCATATAAAACCAAACCCTCCCTACTCCTAACATCTTCAAACCAATTCATAACTCCCCAACAGCTTCACCTCCTACATTTAAACAAAGAAATTAAAGCTTCTCTTTATATTACCATTCTGATCAGCTAACCCTTCTGGGTGTTTGATATAGATCAACTTCTCCACATCTTCCTCTCTTTTAAGACTTTTAAGTGTCTCCTATATTTGCCCTAGATTTCTTAATCTTGATCTTCTTGGGAAGCCTTCTAATGGGTGAAGTTGAAGTTCCTCCATTTTTCCTCTGTCCCATTTCTCTAGACATCATGAAGGACCCGGTCACGGTCTCAACGGGCATAACATATGATCGTGAAAGCATCGAGAAATGGATATTTTTCTGAGAAAAACAGTGAGTGCCCAGTCACTAAACAAGTCATCTCCGATTCCGATTTGACGCCGAACATCACTCTCCGACGACTGATCCAATCATGGTGCGCCCTAAACGCCTCCTATGGCATTGAAAGATTCCCAACACCAAAGCCCCCGATCAACAAAGCCCAGATGGCGAAGCTTCTCCGTGATGCCAAATCTCCACAATTACAAATGAAATGTCTCGAAAAACTGAAATCACTAGCTTCTGAAAGTGAGGCAAACAAACGTTGCATGGAAGCCACGGGAGCCGTAGAGTTCTTAGCTTCAATCATAAACAACACCAACGAATCATCAGTGTCAGAAGAATCAGAAGATGGGTTTGATCCCAAAAAAGCCAGTGATGAAGCCCTAATTATTCTCTATTATTTTGAATTATCAGATGCTGGACTCAAGGCTCTCTCCGGCCAAAATGGTGAATTCATTGACTCCTTAACACAGATCATGCAACGTGGGAACTTTGAATCGAGAACTTATTCTGTGTTGTTATTGAAATCGATCTTCAAAGTGGCAAATCCAAATCAGCTGAGGAGTTTGAAACCAGAATTATTTGTTCAATTAGTCCAAGTCCTGAAGGATCAGATCTCTCACAAAGCCACCAAAAATATACTGAAACTACTGATCAACGTTTGTCCATGGGAAGAAACAGAGTCAAAACAGTCCAAGCCGGCACAGTGCCAGAATTGATTGATCTTTTACCCGAAGCCCATGAGAAAAGGGACTGTGAAATGATACTAGTGGTGTTGGATCATCTGTGCCAGTGTGCAGAGGGAAGAGCCGAGTTGTTGAACCATGGAGCTGGGTTAGCAATTGTGTCAAAGAAGATACTTTGGGTTTCAAAGATGGCAACTGAAAGGGCTGTAAGGATTCTAGTTTTTGTTTCGAAGTTTTCTGCAACTCCCAGTGTTCTTCAAGAGATGCTGACTCTGGGTGTAGTGGCAAAGCTTTGCCTGGTGCTTCAAGTGGATTGTGGTAGCAAGACCCAGGAAAAAGCTAGAGAGATCCTTAAATTGCATGCCAATGCATGGAAGAACTCTGCTTGTAGAATCCTTAAATATTAAGATAGATCCCCACCCTATTTTGCATTTACCTCACCAATCTAATTTATAGTTTAATTTTATTTTGTAGTAATTCCACTTACTGAAAAACAAGTGAGGGATGCTATGATGGTTGGAGCATTTCTCTTATCAATACCCTTTTCTTTCAGCCTAAAATAAGTGGAACTCAGCAAAGCTAACATTGACATTTTTTTAAATCACAAAATAATGAAAAACATGTAAAAAAATTCCTTCCATGACTGTTGATTAATTACAAAGCAGGCGTGGTGGACCTCGTCAGCTATCCATTATAGTTCCAGCTGATTGGAGCCTGTGTGGAATTACCTGCCAAAACAAAGAGTATCAGTTTGACTGGATCTGCCAGAAAAGGCAGTAAATGGAGACAAAATTGTCCATATTTTATGGCCGCATTGGTGGAATGCAAATTATTCTGTTTTTGTAACTTCCAGAAATCATATTATTTTTAAATCTGATGAAAATTTCACTCCAATGTCGTGGACATAGGATTTGTGTATAAAATTGATGGAATAGTGTGACCAATGGATTAGATTACCCCCAATGAATTGAACCTATGTTTGGAATTATCAAAACCTAGCTATGCCCAATGGTTAAACATTGGTTTATGGGTAGCTCTTTCGTTGCCAAGGGTATTATATATGTATCATCAAATAGTTAGGAGATCACAATCATCGCGTTGGTTCATCGATCGGTTGAACACTGAGAGAAGTATAAATCCATACATCTACATTTGATTCTCCTTAGCACTATACCTCAATTAACCTGATATGCGTAATTTGTGAAAGATTGTGTATATCCAAACTTTGCATGCAGAAACGAGTCACAGGACTCAAAATGACTGATGGTTATGATTATAGGAGTAATTTGTTTAATGAAAATGTTACATGAACTTAAAAATTAAACTTGATAATCATAATTATTGAATAGATAGTGAGTTTTAATAAATTCTGAGACCTACCGTAAAATCAATGATTATAATTATCAATTTATTTTTTAGATCCATGTAGCATTGCTCTTTGTCTTTGTTTAAGCTTGTAAGTTATCATCCAGGCAGGTGACCTAACCATGTAAGATCCCAATATGTTAAGACTTGTTAGTTTGGGTAACACCAAATTTTTTCACCTGATTGCCTCAAGTTGACTGCACTCAATTTGATCCTAACCTAGCTTCAGGTCGTACATTAATTATTATTAATCTATGCATTTGCTTTGTTAGTGAAGATTTCGACCAGCAATCCATGCCGTTATGCCTTTCAGATTGTAAGTAAAAGTGGGTCAGACCTATTCAACTGAGTATTGGTTTTCTCCTTTATGAACTGAAGATTAGCCCCCTTGATTGATTCAGTCCTAATGTTTATTATGAATCAGCTCAGATTTTGCAATTTTTAAGAATTAAAAATCATAAAGAAATACATGTGGATGACTCAGTTTATGCTGAATATATATATGACTGCAACGTCATTCCAAAGAGGAGATAGAAGAATAGGAAGAAACTCAGTCTCTATAAGTTCCAAAAGCACAATTTGTCTTCAAGCAGACAACTGCTTTATTATTTTATTTTATTTTATCTGCATTGAAATGGTAAGGGGATTAGTTGTTCAAACCTAACACCGGACTATGTAAAAGGATTTTCAAGTCCAATGTAAGAAAATAATAGGTAGAATATTGGGGAAATACTACGCTTTTATTCGTTTTCGTCTGGAAATGGATTAATTTTTAAACCCTAAGACCCGAGCTTAGTCCAATCCCTAACCCCTTAAGTATGGGGATGTAAACAGTCAAAGAGTGTTGTGTATTGCAAAAAATGCCAGAATATTTACTTCCATAGCCTCATCTTATTTTTATAAAAAAACTTCTCAATAACTCGGGATTTAATCCCATCGAAATGAGAAATCTTCCACCTATAAATTCAAGGAATGAATTGCCTCTTGATGATCTTGAATCGGATCAAGGGCACCATTATAGTAAACTAAATACAAAGAAAACATTGAAGATCGAGACATGAAATTGTTAACAATTAAGACACTACAAAACTTCATGATCCACAATTATAGGAGTCTCGTGCACTGTCCTGCCTTTCGCGTTATAAACGCTACTTCATCCACTAGTATATATTTCTTTAGCCATCAAAAACTCTAAATTCCTATAGCTTCAGCCTAACTTAAGTATGAAGGACTTTGTGCAATATATTCCTTCAAATACATTCCAATACAATGTTAAATCTGCATGGGAAGCCCTTAGAGATAAAAGACAATTTCAACAATAGTCCAAGGTGGTCTAGTACTTGGGTGCTGTACCGTGTTATAGTTTT